CCCCAGGTCACAGCCCTCCCGAAAGTATCACCATTGGACGACGTCACTCTGACCTGGATGCCACGAACCTTATAAGACGTGGGGGCCCCCCCCTGCTCTTGCACACCCGGTGGGGGGGTGGGGGGCGGCGGCCTATCCATGGGAAACCTAGTTCTGAGCGTCTGAGAAAATACAGTCATGCATACCAGGAACCATGTATTAAAGTTGTATTCTAGAACAAGGACACAGAACCCTAAAATGGATGCAGAGGGCTAGCCACCTGGGCCTGGAGCAGCAGGACAGAGTTTGGGTCCAGTGGGGGGGGGGCACCCTTAGGACTGACGAACGTGTTGTTCCGGGTTGTAAGCCTCCCTGTGCCAAGCCCACTTCTTCAGATGCAGGGAACACAATCTCCTCAGCCCTTGCCATGGGGTGGGGTGGGGAGGGGGTCCTTGTCAGGAATGCATAAGGACGGTGTGATTATAGCTGAGACTGGATTAAGGCAAGACTAGCATACAAATACAAATGTTAGCATGTAGATGTGAGAATGATGGTTTGAGTCCAGTGGCACCTTCAAGATGATACACAAATCTGCCTGCGTGCTCCTGTTGCCGAACTGGAAACACACAGTTGGGAGTCCAACCAGTTAGATGAATATCTCTTTATTTGCAATTAAAACAGGGGGGCTTGAGCGCCTTTGCACTTCGGCAGTCCCAGAGCTGTATTCCGCCATAACCAGGAAGGGCAGAAGGTCTTCTACCCCAAATGGCATTATATATAGTTTACACATGAAAGAGTCTCTAACTGGTCCCAAGCAGTTAACATCATAGAAGCATCATTTGACTCAGTGCATCTCTCAGTGGTGTCAGTACTTACACTTGTTTATGTGGTCTTCAGGGCACTGGGAACATTAAAGAACACTTGGGTTCCTTTCTGACCTGCTTAGGGAGAGCTAGCTGATAAAGGCTGTGAACCACATTAAACTTCGCTCTCGGCGGCCTTGCAACTTCTAAATAACATTCCATTCTTACTGCATCTTAATTCCTTCCACAGAGACTTCTGATAATACTTTCACTTAATATGGCTTTTTATACAAAAAATGCAGTTATAAAATATATGTGTTCTGCTATATGTTTCTCTAATCAAAAGATTCTAGGTTACATACCAAGATCTGGATCTATTAAAACTTTTAAAGGCACAGTGACAGCTGTAGGCATATAAACATGTCAGAAGAAATATCAGAACCCACATTCAGAAATCACATTCATTTTTTCCTTGTCCTACAAAGACAAGCAAAGGTCAATACTGGGTACAAGCGAGAACTCCTTAGACTCATTGAAACAGATTTCCTCAAATATAACATATGTATGGGTGGGGCCAAGCAGAGCTACTAGAGTCACAGTGCCTAAGTAACTGAGGAATAAATACAGGTAGCACATTAGGTAAGACATGTAAATAGCAGCAAACTGGCATACAGATAGCAATGGAGTTACTAACAGATGTGGGAACTAAGTTTGAGTCCAGTGGCACCTTTAAGACCAATAAAGTGATTTCTGGGTATAAGTGAGAACTGAGTGACTTAGCATGTGTAATGAGATAAGAAACCAATGTCTCTGTTAAGTCTTGGGGGTTCCATTGTCCTGTTCAGCAATCTCCCGTTCCTGTGTGTTCCAGATGCAAATAAAAAGATTGTCCCTACAATGCCATGTCAGGAAATATAAGGTTTTTCCAGGGTTAAAATATAGAGTTTTTAGTAGGGCAAATGCACACTGTTCACAAACTTGTGCAGGAATTGAGAATGTGTGGGAACAAGACAGAAAAGGCACATGACTAGAGATGCTGAACACTGAAAAACCTCCCTGTAGTGTAGAATCAGCCAGAGAGGTCTGGGGACAAGGTCTTCAGGGACTGGCTAGAACTGTTCTGCTTCTGTGCTAGCAGCTCCTCTCCAGTCATTGAGATCGACAGTTTTAAGACTGGACAGCACTGGGGGAGAAGCAGATCATCCACTATCTCCTTGTCCTTGTCACCAGCTCCTCCCCCTGCACCACCACCACCCCGGCTAGTTCCTAGCAGGCAGGATGTTTGGATCTTTGCTGTGTCTGGTACCAGCTGGCTGCTGGGTCAGTTCCCTTGCGGGGGGGGGGGAACTGCCTCTCCCCTGGTAGGTTCTGTGACCATCTTCTCCATAGCACAGTCACTGAGAGTGTCTAGAAAGCACAAGAGAGACGGTGATCTCCTAGGATCCATTAGAAGCTTAGCAGCATACTTGAGCCTGAACATTTACTGTCCTATCTGAATGTATTATCTTTCATGACTTGTTGTAAAGCACTTTATGAACAAGAGAATTTTTGTACCACTCTAACATTTCCTGAGGAAGATCCAATTTTGAAACATCGTTATATAATACGGAGACGATGTTGATGATGTACCTTTGCCTGCAAGACGGAGCTCTTCCACCAGGCTTTTAATTAAGGAGTCGCATCAAATAACTGAGAAGTGACATTGCCCTGGTCCTTGGCTTACCCCCAACAGCCTTTTCTGTTGCCTAAATACAGAGACCAAGACGAGCTGACCACCAATATAGATCATTTGATTACAACACTAGGATTGTTCCCACCTTCTGTAATCATTGTTATAAGTACTTGATCAGTTTCAAGCATTTTATGATAATGTAGAGTTTTATTATTATTTTAAGATTGTATGTAATTTATTACCTATCGGTTTTAATTTCTTTGTAAGCTGCCCTGAGCCTGCTCCGGCGGGGAGGGGGGAGTATAAATTGAATGAATGAATGAATAAATAAATAAATGTCTGGGCTAGGAGAATGAAGTTATTTTCTGTATAAGCACCTTTCTCAGGATTTTTATAAGGCTATAGCCCAAAGCTTCTTGGGTCTTGGATTCGAGTCCTTCACATAGGAGGCCACTCATAGGTGTGTGCCTCGACACTGGGACCATTTTGGGCGCGGGTCACTCCCCATTTGTCTGATATTTACCGCAATGCCCGTTTGTGAGCCAGAAATGGCAGAGGATTTCCCAACTTTTCAAGTGTGGCCACTAGATGGCAGCACCCCACACAGGGAGACTGGAGACCTTCCAGTGGAATTCAAAAAGTGCTCAGGGTGGGAAGAGCTGGGGGGGGGCTTCATTTCTGCCTCTCTCATGGCTGATTGAAGAAGACCAGATGGATCTACTTTCCCGGGGGGAATACCTGGCCTAGCAGTGGAGTCCGGCTAATGTTACTATGGCATTAAGATGTACCCCTTCCTGCCATCCTGGTGCTCAAGGTGTGGAGTCCAAGGAGACACTGAGGAGGGGGCCGGCAGCGTCTCCTGCAGGACTCTCTGTTGACCGGCTTCCCCTCCCAACCAAGATGTTTGGCAACCTGAAGCATTCCCCTTGCTCTGCTCAGGAAGCATCATCAGCCAGTTCCGAGGCAAGAGAATCTGCTGCATTGTTGGATGCTGTGGCCCCTGCCCCCCCGCCCCGCTTTCCTTGGCAAGCTCCTTGAGAGACAGGCATTCTTCCGCGCTACAGGCAGCCCACAGCAGAATGGCCACATCCCCTCGCTGAGATGGATGCCAGTGCTTAGTCTCCACACCTGACTCCAGTGCAGCGGCACAGGAAGCAAAAATGGTAGGTGGGTG